ATGTTCAGAATAATTCAATAAGCGAATACTGTTAATTAATATTAATTTATTATTATTATTATTATTATTATTATTATTATTATTATTATTAATAATAATAATAATAATAATAATAATAATAATAATAACAATAATAATAATAATATGAAAATGTATATAACGCACAATCCGCCTCAATTACATAGGCCTACTAACAATCCATGGCTGAGTAAAACTGACATATATTTCCATACAGGAAGCCTATATTTAATTAGACATAACCGAAATATATCTCCTTCATTTCAGCCATGTCCATCAAATGGCCCGGATTTTCGTGAAATGCAATGCTCTGTATATAACAACAAGAAAATGTTTGGTCACCTGGTCCGTGAATGGGAGCCAATTACAAGTCGTGAGTTTAAAAAAATCTATTTTAAGAATAAAGTCATAAACGTATTATATTATATTCCAAACACAAGTCCTTACACACAATGAGAATATTATACATTATGAGTACTGTATTTTAATAAGAGACAATAAAGACGTAATTGTTTTGATAGTATTATGTAATATTATTGCTAAAATACCTTAAACAGTAAATAAAAAAAAAATACATACGGTATCCTGAGTTAAAACGTTTAAAAGTAAAATAATTAATTTGTTTTCCTACATTTTTTTTCTCAGGCTTTCATTCCATTCTTCCTGCTGTTGAATGTAATAATAAAATAATACTAAAGATAACAACAGAAATATGTAGAGAATGTTTCTAATAGGCCAGATTTAATTTCTTTATTATATAATTACCCTTGTATTCCTTTCAGAGCCCAACATATGTGAGCTAACGTGTTTGGCGAAGGGAACTCATTTCTTTTATTCTTTCGGGAAAGTGCTAGACGGAACCAGATGTGACAAGGAGAGTAAGGATATGTGTATCAACGGTGAATGTGTTGTGAGTATTTAATATTTTAATTTGTTATTTTTAAAAATAAAAAAATTTACAAATTTAATAAAATTAGGGCCTAAATGAAGTTGACTTACTCTGAAAAAAAATTGTAATGTACGTTATTGAATCTATTATTGTAGGAGAGGAAGATGTTCGCCTATATATATATATATATGTATATATGTATGTAAGTGCTAGGAGAATGCACGTTACACAATTTATACCGTGTTATAAAATAACATTTTATGTTTTGTTATCAATTATTTTCGAGAAAAGTTTAGTCGATCAATCCATGCACGTGGAAATTAACTACCCTTTAGAATAGGTTGTAGGTTGTTTACAAGTGTATACAAAATAATGTTCAAATTGAATTTCTTTTTATTCGAAATCTGAGATGGCAGCAAATGCCAGATATATATATATAAGATGTGTATATGTAAAATTACTTGAACGTTAATGTATAATAGTGCATTAAAAATAAGTAGGGGCCTATGATGACAGAATAATTTAAAAGTAAAGTTGTCAATATGCAATTCATTAACTAATGTTTCTCTATATAGCCTGTTGGATGTGATGGGGAGCTTAACTCTGATGCTAAGGAAGACTTCTGCATGAAATGTGGAGGAAAAAACGATACCTGCACACGTTATCAGACAGTTTACATTGAGCCACCACCAACACAGGGTAAGCCTACAAAAGAAGTAGACCCAATGTTCATTTTGTTCGTTCGTCCGCCGCTACTTCATCTATCCATTCGCTTAGTCATTTATCCGTTCGTCCACTTGTTCGTTCATTGTTCCGTCTGTTTGCTTGGTTACTAATCTATTCGTTGAATTCATGCATCATCCATCCATATATATCCACCTTTTTGACACAGAGACATTATTTACAGAACCCACGGACTTAACGTAATTTTATCCAAACACCTAGAAAAATAAAGACAAATATACTAATTATTGAGTGGCACGTGCGATTATTTTTGTCAATATTTTTCGAACCAGGAACATACATTTTAACGATAAACCACCACCCTCTTTTACAATCGGTTAAATTCCATTAAATTCATTAAAATAGCAATTTTCAAGGTATTGCTTATTACCACACCGAATCACCAGGAAATAAAACTCAACGATATTAGCAGTGAATTTGCTTGCCCTTTGAACCTTGGTTTAGTTTTCATATTCTTCATGATTATAGTGATTTAACAATTTTTTTCCCTAAATTTTAAAAATGCTTAGGCTTTATAGGTTATCGAAACTGCACAGTCGTACCAGCAGAAGCAACTCACATACAGATCACTGAGCACACTCCGAACTTCTTAGGTAAGCACAATGCTTAATTATGTCGATATGGTGTTGTATAGTAATTTGACGATGCACGGAATGGTTAAAATAGAAATAAGGCTACTTACTTTATCATCTACACTCGACTCACAACACGGGGAAATTTGCAGTGATTGCTGTAAGAAGAAAGTCGGGGGGTAAGTACAAGCCCTAGAAAAAGTTTGCGACCCAAGCAATTTGGTAAGGGGAAAACACTCAAGTAATTAAAAATCCCTTACAATTGTATCGTAATCCTCCATGTTGGTACCTTTACGTCAGGAGATATCCTATAGTTGTTTAAAATGGGGATAAATCTCTGGCTTTAAATTTATTATAAAGATACTTTGAGAGACACTTGAAAATTTAACACAATATTATGAAGGACTTCGTACATACGAGTTTTAGTGTTTCAGTGAGAATAACATGGAATATAGGCCTACTTCGCCAAATAAATAATAATGTCTACTATTATCGCAATTTCTGTAGCAATGGTTGAGGGTTCACAACATGTTCTTAATGGTGACTGGAGTTTACACTGGTCTGGAAATATTCACGCCGGAGGAGTGGTATTTGAATACGATCGGAAAACAAACGGCAATGAGAGATTATTCGCCAAAGGTCCGACGAAGCGCCCTCTGACGTTGGAGGTAAAATAACTTTCAATCTTATTTACACTACGGACTGTTTTAAAAAGTAGTCTCCAAAAATATACAAAACTTAGAGCAGCACGAACCATAACTATAATTATGAATTGTTTCATAAATAATACGACAACAAATAATACACAGTATGAGCGCAAAGCAAGTTTATGTGACAAAACGGCTAGACTGTTAGGATGGACGTGCATAATATGAACTTTATTATTTATAACATTGTTTGAAAAAAATTATTTGCGTAGGTCATTTTAACAGACAGTAACGGTCCAAATATAACAATATCGTACTGGCTTCCAAAAAAAGAAATTTCGTCGAATGATGTCGTGGATATTAAGGTAACCGAGAAACCGGTGGAATCAAAACACAAGAAGAATACGATTAAGAACAACGATGTGATTATCACGAGTGACTTTACAAATGGTAAGAGACTATTTTGATTATTAAGAATAATACATTTACTTAAATGCTACCGGATTCACAGCGATTTTAGCCTCTCACTGAATTCTGCTTCCCGTCTATACGTAACATAATTAGTGAATTGGTGGTCTATGCCCTATTCCGAAACATCCAAGAGGCCGAATTTACCATCTCAGCTCTTTTAAGCTAAGGGTGTCCAAATTCCAAGTCCAAAATGGTGTATTCGCAAATACGTAGGATTGCACTGAACTTAACACAGGTTGTGCTCGCATTTTAAGAACACATTTATACCGTTTCGTGTCCTGTATTATGTCAAGTAAAATTTAACTCATGATTTGTATCACACTTTAGGCCTATGGCATCTTATTGGCTTTTTCTATTACAATGAGCGTGAAAAATCAAGCTATATTTATTCAACTTATATCTCATGATTATTAATTATTATATCAACATATTTTTTCATTTAGATAAACCAGTTAAGCCGTATCATACCAAACGATTCGATAAAAGTGAGTTGAAAGTTTAAGTATCTTCATTTGACCATAACGATAACCAACCGTCAAACCATATCAAAAATCCGAAAATACATGCTGATAATCATTGTTTTTAAATATTTCAATCATCTTCATAGGGGATAACTCGTATTTCTATATTCTTTCCGTAGCTGCTTGCCAGGTTTGTGAGAAAGTTCGAGGAGGACGCGTGAAGCATTTCTGCAGCAGTGATTTTGGTAAGAGGTAGCGTGATAGGATTAGGTGAAGAGCCTATTAAGGATAGGCTCTAATGCAAGATAATAAACATTAAATATAATTAATTTTTATAATGTTAGAATGAAGTCCAACGGAGCCATGTAAATAAAGTGTTACGGGCACCATATGAGGCTGTATGGATCGATTTAGACTTGACAGTAAAACTAATTATGATTAAAATGTGTTCGTTTATTACCTTTTATAACAGGCCTAATCATAGTACAGTAGTTCCATGAGGTCCACCAACATTTTGCAGCATACAATGTATGAGGCAAACACCGAAAAAATGATACAAGCTATAGTTATTCAATATTTTGAAATATATTTGTTACTCTACAGGAATGTAGGCCTGTTACGTTTATTGGAATTGCTTTCTATCAGTGTTATTGTTCGACGTTTTTATGAAGTGTTTTTTTTCTTTCTATTTCTCCATCAGTAATTCATGTTGATGTTCTAGATAAACAGATTGTCAATGGACAAATTCGCTTCGATGTGTCTATTCTTCACACTTACAAGAACGTTACTCCCCTACAAACGCGCGAGTTCTTGTGGATACAAAGTACGTGCAACTGCCCAATGATTAGGCCCAACAAGGAATACCTCATCATGGGGGTCAACACCTACGACGCGGCTAGCGGCCAAAGTCGTCTGGTCATCTTGAGTACTAGTCTAGTCCGAACCTGGAAAGTGAAGGACCATGAGAAATGGGTGAAAACGAAGGAAAAACAAGATAAACTTTGCCAACGGTTCACGCATAGATCTACGTTGTAGTGGCGAAGTAAATTATATGACAATTTTGGAAATCCTGAAAACACTGTTTTTGAGTGGGTACAATATTGATATCTATTTATGGGAAAGGAGGAAATTGTGAAAGTCGATGGTTCCTATCGAATTTTCGAGATATAAACACTGCAACTAAGTAGTCGAAATTGATATGATTGTGGGATACTATAATTACATTTTAGCTGAAATGCATTATACCAAATGGACTTTTGTCAGGTTGACGTTTACAGGTGGATATTTAGAAATGCAAAGAGGAACTAAAATTACACCATGTTATGGTATGATAGACATAGCTACGATGAATTTTGATATCATGTGATATCTGAAGTAATTCATGAAATCACGAAATCAAAAGGACACAGATAGACATTAAATATATACATTCCTTTTGCAAATACTTCATCGTATCAAAATTAGGCCTACATTTTCTGTTTGTTGTTCATACACGGTTCTTACAGTTACGCCTTAATTTTTTAATCCGAGTATTTTATATCATGAATTAATCAATTAAAGCATCAATTATTACGACTATTAGAAAATCATATATTCAAAATCGATAAATTTTAACCTTATGTAGACACTAATATTTAATATGCGACGAAAATAAAGCAACTGTGTGAAAGAAATGAGAGATGCCAGATTATTTAAGGGACAATTATAAGTTATTCAAACAAATAAAATACCTAGGTGTAGTCAGCACACAAATAAAATACCTAGGTGTAGTCAGCACACAAATAAGCATGCAGAGTGTAAGTATTTTTGCAGGCTTCGGGGATCGGAGGCAGGAAAATTGTTTTTGAGACGCAAGAATATTTGAGACAGATTATGCTGCTAGTAAACCTTTGAAATATCAAATTATTATAAATATATTGTTAGGTTTAGGTAATGTGCATATAATATCTATATAATACTACAGCACCAGTTTTTGTATGAACCGTAGTATTATGAATTGGTGATCAACATTTTGTATTACAAAAAATACTCAAATGTTGTTCATCGTTCTATTTAGTTCTGTCAGTTTCGGACTCTTATAATTCATAATTGCTTTGTTCTCTATTTCTATTACTAATTATCTAAGCAACTATTTTGAGTTCGTCGGTAATGGAGGTATTTGTTACAGGCAGTATTTTACGTATAACTGATCAATTTTCTTGCGAAAGTCTCTGCACAGAAGAGTATTATTTTTGTCAAAGTTAGATTTTCTCAGCTTAGGCTGGAGTAAGACTATTAGAATGACCTTGATTGAGACCTCAATATTGTATAATGTAAAATAGAAAATATATTTTGGTATACGGCGTAGTGACGTTTTATACGTGAATTTGTATTGTATTGTTTATCTCAATATTACTATATACAGCAAACAATTGAATAAAGAGCAAATAGGACGCCAATTATTTAATAAAACCGTATGATGAAAATTTTCATATGTAATAATAAAATAATGCATAACGCGTCATTTATACTTATGGAAACCAATAAGGCGCAACATATAAGAATATCATAAAACAAAACTCAAATAAAAGAAATAAGAAAAAAAACAGACTATGCAACGCATGAAGGTTACAACAAAAACCTATATTTCAAGGCGCAGCTGCTCTTGAAAATTGGTAACCAGCTATGTTGTCTCAGTAGGCTATTGGTGAGGTTATAGACATTTACGGTTCAAGTTGTCCTGTTGCATCTAGGGACCACATTGCCAATATACACATTCATTACTGTTGTCGGCAAAAACGTTGCTATAAATTAATTTTAATAACAAAGACAATATAAAATACCCAACAGCAATATAAACTACAGTATATATAATTTATTCAGTCTACGCACACAATATGGTGTAAAGGTTTACGCATAATAAAGTGGAACATTTCAGAAAGTACCCGTGCTCCATAAGTTTATCATGCCACCTACAGGTTGTTACAATATAATGTAATGTATAAAACCACAACAGAGCCTCTATAAAATAGTAAATAATCTCTTCATAAGAAAAGGCATTCTTAATGTATTAAAATATATTTTGTAAAAGCCAAAAAATAGCATTTATTACATCATATTTCAATTGCACCCTGAATTGGTAAAAACCAAGGAGAAACCATTTCCAGTAAGAAATGTAGAGACTTTAAGACCAATCAAGTCAATGAAACAAATTGTTATGACAATAAGTAAAGAAAATACTAAAAAAATCTTAAAATTGATTCCCAACCAATTTAAGGATCTCAGTGCTAAGAATTTTTGAATGGCAATAGGCTGTATATGCGTCTGTTATCTTAGAAGTCAATCTCTAATTTTTAATACAAACAGCATCTTTATATCGACTCTCAAAATCAGTTGTTAAATTAGAAGTACTGGCAGTAACTGTTATCAAAGGGAAATTGATCTAAATAAAACGACTGTACATATGATATACAAGTGCATGATAAATAGTTCATTTTACACAGTAAACCAACAAAAAACACCATTCATGTAACTGCCATTTCAAACATAATAGACCATTCCAGTGTGTAAAACCTACCAACAGACCCAACAGAACAGGGCCACAATATACGCAAATTGTCCTACAGAAAATGTCTAACAATATCCAAGGGATGGGGCTTAGTGAAACGGTTCATTCATTTATCATTTAACAGCAAAATCTATATTGATGTAATTTAGTAACCTATGCATTTTTGTAATTGTCATCACAAAATATAGGCCTACATTGAAATTATTTTCCATAATTAACAACACTTGTATAGATTTACTTTCCATAGCTTTCTCTTTATTGATTCAATTACCATAGCAACCTCTCTATTTACTTACTTAACTTTCATAACTTCTAGCACACCCTGCATTAAATTCCCATACCAATGTACCGATTTTCCCCATTCAATAATACATAGCAAGTGTAAAACATCTCTCTGAATTTATGAATCTGAATACCGTATAATACAAAAGGCTTTTTCATTAAAATAATATTACTGTATTAATATATTATAGTTCATGTTAAGCTATTTTCTGAATACTAAGATACAATGAATAGTACAATATTCTCAGTGACCCAAATGGCAAACATTTTGCAATGAACAAGAATTAATGGAAACGATAATATAGACATAAGGTCTTGTTCAGACGGTTAAGTTAAACGAAGAGGTACCGGTAGTAAAACCTGATATAAAGTGGTAGAAACCAACTGCAACAGAACCAATTTGGCCAATTATGTTCTTAATCATTATAGTTTAAATAACATATGATATTTTACCTTCAATGGATGTCAATCAAATTTAAAAACTGACCAATCAGAACAAAGCCAGGAATTATGCATGTCTCACATGGGAGCTTTCGATTTGCGCGACAACGCGAGGCTAGAACGGAATCGCTCATGCGTGACCGTCCTACCTGGCATCCTATGTTCTCGGCATATGTAGCCCATGCGTAGACTTAGCCAAATTGCGTTCCAGAATCTACTCGACGAGGTGACCTTAACTAAGCATGCGCAGATGACTTTTACTGACGTCATTACGTTCTACATCCTACCGTTGTCGTGCAATCAAAAGCTTCCTACTGTCATTTTGTGGGACTTTAGCAACAACATCCAAGGAGTGGCGCTTAGCAGAAAGGTTGATTGACCCCTGATGCACACACAAAATTAATGCCCAATAAAATCAATATAAACAGTTCAAATGCACTATGATCATAATATCAGCACTTTAAAATCATGAAACCATTTAAGTTAATCAATAATGATGATGGAGTTTTGTGTTAACAATTTTAATGCCCAAAAAAACTCTTGCACCAATAAAATCGAAAGTTCCATTCAAAAATAAAAAACATAATGTAGCTACAATGCATCATTGGATTTAAAAAAAATATGAAGACAACTTTTAATATATTACCACTAAAGCAGTGGCGAATCCAGGGGGTGCACCATTACTCACTCGCGTCTCCCCAAAAATCACAGTAAAGTATTTAAAAATCACCCTATTTTGCGAATTAGTACCTCCCTACTGATCATTGAGCCCCCCCACTTCACCTTCGCGCCCCCTATCAGCACCCCTATTTCAAGACTTGCAGATACGCCACTGCACTACAGGCTATGGCATACATTTGTAAGTGTCTCACATTATACCAGACACAAAGTTTTGTAAATGGACAGTTTCAAAATGCATGCAGCCTTTGATATTTGATTGACAGCAGATGTTTACATTGCATAATGAATAATTATATACTGTACTGGAATTAATCGTCTATTTTAATAGTTCAGTCTTCTCATAAATTCTGTTAAGAGAAAACTTGATGGTTTAACAGTCACTTTTGCTATAGCTCTTTGTAATTTAAGTACTATATTTTTATAAACTTTGGTACATTGTAAGTATCGAAACTAATGGTTTTTGTACTAAATCTTCCACAATTTTATACCCCTATTTTTTTTTAATAGTATACACTACCAAATACATTAAGTTCTTTCCAAATTGTAGTTGACTTCAGGTTATCTGCTACCACATATAAATTCAGAAACAGAATAAATCTATCTATCAACAAATCAGTTGATTTATGTGTTTATATCATTGTTTTTAATTATTAAATATTATGCAGTAATAAGTCTAATACCATATCTAACAACATTTAGTGGAGTATATAATGAAAACCTTCCTTATAAAATATAACTGCTTGACAAATCCACAAGAATATTATCCAAAATAATTAACTAGAATAATAATTAAAATATTTAATAACAAAAATAAACATACTGTACACTACCAAATACATTAAGTTCTTTCCACTTTCCCATGAGTATTTTTATCAAAAAGAAATAATAAAAACAAAATTAGAAAATAATAATAAATCAACAGTAAATAAAATATAAAACTAAAATAGGTGATACATATGTTTATGTTAACAATTGTGATTAACGGAAAATGGTGAATAGGTTCAATAATACAGGTACAATCAGTAGCGGATCCAGGGGGGTTCAAGGGGTTCGGACAAACCCTCCCCCCTCTGTGAAGAAACGTAACAAAATAAAACTGGGTCCTAGCTTACAAAAGGCATGCTAACCCAAGGCATAGGTTGGAAGATCAGACAAACTAGGCTTAGCCCAACTAGTTTTCAATTAAATAAATTATACACACTGTTTTTGGTTCGCCGTTGTAATAACTGATGTACGAAAGTGCGTTCTTCAGGCTTATCGGTTCATCGATCTATGGAAGAAAGACTACATATCTAGCTACTCAATGTTGTTGGAATATAATAAGATATTGCCTGTCTTTGATTTTTTTCCTCTATGATAGGCCTAAAGATTGAGATAAAATTACCTGACCTTTTTTCAAGAAGGGAAAAACTTTGAATTTTGAAGAACTTGAAATGGTCATTAAAAGACTCCTCAGAAGTTGGGAAAGCTCATTTCCGGCAATCTAGAAATCAAAATTTTCCTGGACCCCTGTTTCATCTTGGGGTTTTTTGGAAACATTTTGAACCCTCCTCTTTTAAACCCTGGATCCGCCCCTGTACAATATTATTTAGAATTGCAGCAGAAAGTGGAAAAGCTTTAGTTTTTATACCACAAGACAGAGAAACATTTAGTCAGGTAGTATCAACGATAGAATGAGAAAGTCGTGTGTGGATATTATATATTTATATATGGAAAATAAAAATGAACACTTTAAAAACTGCATTAAAATAGAGGATTTTAAAGGAGTACAGTAATACCTAAAATACAAATTTATCTGACAAGAAATGATAAAGATTGCACATCTGAATGGTACAGGAACTAACTTCCTGTAAAGGTGATATCACATATTTTGATTATATGATTATATAGCACTGAAGATACACAATACCTCACAATATCAAGACTGAAAGTGACAATACCAAAGAAAAATTGTAAGTAAATGACAGCAACACTTTTGAGACTAACAATATAAAATTGCTATATTGTTAGTCTCAAAAGTGCTGCTGTCATTTACTTTATATTGTTCTATAACAGAGTAATGCAGCTACCCTTTTTATTCATCATAATACCAAAGAAAATAAGACATGTAATGCCTAATACTGTAAAGTGATGGTGCAACAATTACTGGTATTGCTATTGCAACTGAGAGTTGTCTGATGTTCAAAATGGTTGAAGCACTTGTAAAGTATTCCAAATCACTTGAAGTTGAACTTGGGAATACAGAACGGTTTGCTAATGCTTCAAACGATACTGGCCTCTAAATATTAAGATTTTTTAAAAGAATTTCTATACCAAGGCCCCTGCATATCTTAGCGAGATTAGGTATGCAAGATTCACTATGGAATTCCAAAGCCAAAATGCAAAAAGAATGCTAAAATGCATGTAAAAACACAATTTTTAACAATCGTATTGCCTTGCATCTTACATTATATAGCATTTGATTTTAAAACCATAACATTTTCTTTTTTATACTTTTACTCTGATCACACTATATCAGTCTTAATTAATTACTTGTAGGATTCATGAAGGATAGACTTAAAGTGTAGTTGGGAATTTGAATATAGTTGGAAATTTAAATTATATTATCATTATTCACATATTATTAAGACAAAAACAAAAACTCATTAAAATATTAATAATTGTTTTAGTTTATAATACATGTAATATTCGGTAATTTTTTTCATTAAAAGATAAAAATGACAATAAAATATTTCACTGCAAGATATGTACAATTGTTCATATTGTTTTTTTTTTACAGATAGGACAATCCTGTTAATCACATTCCAAGTTTATATATTCTGTATTCCGATTGAATTATTCATCAAAATGGAATAAGTGATAATTAAGCAAATTTAATATAGAAAACAAATCTTCCTAAACATGTAAAAAACATAAACACAAGTTAGCACAAAATATCAAATGTGGGATGTTACTTAAAAATAAAAAAGGTAGTTAACCATGTAAAAATAAAATGGTTAATAAACTATTGCATTGTGTAGGAACTAAAATTATAAAGAAACATCACTCATTAAATATTTTAGAACTAAAATAGACAAGTTTAAAGGAATAGAAAAAGTCTGTTTAAACCAACAAAACATTCAAAGTGTTGATGCATCAAACTTTTGTCACAACTCCCTTGTACTTCGATCTGGAAAGAAAGAAATATTGAAAGTTTTAGTAAAATGTTATTAAAGGATTAGATAATGATAAGGTCTTGTGTCAACAGGGATATCAGGAAGAAGGTGGATTTCTCCAAGGTAATTCAACAAATTCAACATCTCTGCTAGCGAACATAGCGCGTGCATACAGTCCTTTGATGCACGCGTTAGGACTAACTTCACCATTCAAATATAAAGTTATAAATGTATATGCATCCACAATTACAAATCTGTGTAAGAAATAACCCAGCATAATGTAAATATTCGCTTTTTACACAAAGATGGCAAAAGGCCAGGTGGCAACGGGCCTAGGTTTGCAAAAGGCCGGGTGGTAGAAGGCTGGGTGGCAGAAGGCCAGATGGCACAGGGCCGGGTGGCACAGGGCCGGGTGGCAATGGGCCGCAACCTAGTTGGGTTGCTACGGTTTTGATGACGATCTGTGTGTAGAGTGCGCGGCGAGTAGAATTTTGATGCGTAGATGAGTTATATCCTTTGATGTTCTGAGATGTGCCTCCTTTTGTTGAATTGCCTTGATTTCTCTGCCAAGGAATTTAATACCCTGGCATCTGTACTGTATGTCAAAGCTCACATACTCTACAATATTACGCTACCTTGTTACAGAGACAGTAGTATTTAGGGGTGACCTAAAAATTGTCAAAACAATAGTCTGTTGAACCTGACCTTGAATGTTAAATTAGAGTTAAAGTTCATTCTGAGATATACATCATATGACAACCACAAAATAATGATTGATGGCATCTTACTTTTTTGGGGGTGGCGTTGGTGTAGTTCCTCTTCTTCTGTTGCAATCTCCACAAAATACAGGGTCAATAATGTTCCAGAAAAACAAAATTCCACAAACCCAACTGGAGACCATCTTGACATAGAATGGTGGCCATGTTCTCTGGAAGTTTTCCAATTTAGCATATTGTGGTCTAAAAATATATAAAAAACATCATTGCAATATTATTCATTGAAAATAAATAAAATTTTACATTAGATTTTAGCACATTCAAATAATTTAAAAGAAACAATTTCAAGTCAGGCTCCAGGGAGAAAAAATATATAATTATGTTGTACAACTGACTTTTCTAAGACATAAAAAAAAATAATTTGGAACGGTTAATGAGATACCGATTTAAAAAAAAGGGTGTAACCACCATTTTTTCCACCCGTTTCTATTCACCCAGTTCGTAAATATTCAATAATCTGTGTCTCATTAACTATCCCAGACTTTTTTGTCAAACACCTTTTTGAGTGTTAGAAAAATCAGTTTTACAACATATCAAAAGGTTTTATTCCCTTCGGAGTTTTGTGAGGTAATCTTCATGCTTGCACTGAAGATCTAGCTAGAATCCGGCTAGCACCGGGTTTTGAAACTGAGTCTGGCTGTTCCCTGAATAAAATTCAGATAAGAAGCGGTAAATACTAGGTATTTGTTACATGTAGGTGGCGCTGAACTGTGGCTGCTATGGTTCCCCAGGAGCCCAGCCAAATTTCCTGTTTTATATTTCATTTGAAAGTACATTTTTGTGTAATAACGATTGTACGTACTTGTACCAATTTGTGAGCGTCATCATAATGTAAAAGGATGCCAACATAAAGACAAGGTGAAGGAAAGAATAGTTGTAAACAACACCATCTTCTTCGTTATGAATCACGCCTAAACTCTGTCTTTTATCTGCTTCATCCTCTTCCTGAACTCGTTTATTTTGGGCTTCTTTTTTACTTGAGCTTTTACTCTTCTGCTTGTGTTTCTTTGAGGAACCATCACTCTCATCCTCATCATAATGATCTTTACCGATATTTTGTCTTGCTAATGGCAACTCTAGAAAGGAAGATTTTATTTTAGAATCATTGGGTCATCTTTTTTTAATCTTATTTACACAAAAGTAAAAATAATATGCTGGGGAGGGAGTTAATTATTGTATTGACTCTTGTAAAAATAAAATGATCCTAATTTTATTACGTATTTTCATTTGGTGGAGAGAGGGGAATAGCATAGTGCTCATGGGCTCTTAGAGCGTGACGTCTTTCCTTAACCCAGGGGGCCTTGAAGGGGCCATAAGGCCTCTCCTACTAAAATTTAGCCTTGACACGGTCCAGAAGAAAAACACAAAAAAACTAGGCAAATTGAAACAATACTACTAGGTTTAAACTTGCAAGCACTAGTATATTAGTTCCAAAAACCACTGTACCGTACCATTCCCATACGCTTTGTAAACTATACTTTCCATAATGTTATAAATGAACTTAAATGTTTGTGCTTTAGTAAAAAAAGTTTTCAGTTGCTACCTTCTAATTCAGTTTTCTCTCCAAGTGGATCACAAAGACAGCAGGCACCTTCCTGTTAAGAGAGTTAAGAAAACATGTTTAACACAATAAATTTAATATAAAAAAAAATCACTTGCACCCTTAAGGTATTTTAAATAGGTTTGAAGCATATCCTTTTAGTCATCATATGTAGATATATTTTTAACTTTTTGATATATGTTATTTTATAAATTTTAATAGAAATGTTTTTGTAAATTTGTTTTTTGGTGTTATGTTGGGATTTGTGCTCACTGAGTCAAGGAGGCAATTGTTTCTTTAAAAGTCCCAGGACCTTTGTGTCAAAATAAATAAATGAAATTAAAGGATAAATGAATGGAATGAATATAAACATTCAAAAGAAAAAGTGTAAAACAATATAAATCAAATTTATAAACACAAGAGAAACAAATTATTGCAAATACATACACTGTGCATGCACGTAATATAGTAATTAATTAGTATTTATTCTGACATAAATAATGCAAAATATGAAATATATTTTCCTCAATGCAGAAAGAGGTAAAGTGCATGCCTATCAAACATGCCTCCATACATTCTAATTCTTTAACACGTTGACTGCCAGACCTTTTTTTACGGTTCCTTCCCGTGTGCCAAAACAAGTTCACATGTACAAACATACTTTTTTTAAATTTTATCTAGTCATATATCATCAAAATGATGTGTCTAATAAATTGGCGGGAAAATATTAGGGGGCGAGTATACTCTTTTTGCATGGGTTGGTATATGTTCAAAGGGCGCCCCCACTTGTACCGCTCGAGTGTACTACCGGCAACATAACACAACAAACATACATATGTCATTTGTACGTTATCGTCTAGGTGTATCTTCCCCAAACAACCAGCCGTTGAGTCTGTGGTCCTACATTGTATAATAAAGAAGTTATAAACGCTAGAATTTTCCCCCGTTTTTGACGAGTACACTCGTTCCTGGCGCCCTCAGCAACACCCAGTGGGCGAGTATACTCGTCGCTGGCAGCCAACGTGTTAATGTCTGCTCTAAAATTTAAAAACTCCACTTAAATATTTACTTAAAATGGTGAATTGCTCAATTAAAAGGACCAAATAAGTACAATTTTCCTAAGAGACACAGAACAAAACAGTTCACTTTTCAAATTATTTGTTATTTGAAGAGAAAAATAGTGTATAATTGTTAAATCCTTCAATTGAAAAGTCTTGGAAAGAGCAATGCAATTGGCTATAATACTGGAGGTAGCCACTGTGTGTGTGTGCAGAACTCTAAAGAGCTTTACAACCGTGTATTGTATACTGCTCATGAGGGGAATGGTGAAATCTATTGTCCAGAGGTGATGTGGAGACCATAGCCTATCTTCCCGAGGGCTGCCAGAGGGAAGAATGGTTATGTACTTTATATTACCAAGGGGCTGTAGATTACACCATTCCCCGATTCTAAAGCAGTTAAAATTTTGTTCATACATAGATTCTACAAGATCTAAGGTAAAGGTAGGAGAATAACCCATAACTTGCAGCATCATTGTGCTGAATTGCGTATGGGCGTGGTCTTTGACTACCTAGCAGCCGTAAAGAGGCGCTTCTTGGTAGATACATGTTCACATCATTCCACAACGACAGGGGCTGAAATGAACCATAACATCGGGGTAACCCCTACCCTTCCGAAAGATGCAATGGGTTCTTTAAAGTGCACACGAGCCAGATGTATACAATGGACCTCCATTTTAAGTCCTTATCCGAGAAGACTTGGTTCTACCAACCGAACCATGAGCGAGGAGCAGCTGGAACCAGCGCCGATGTTAAAGGCTGTAGCTAGCGGTGCCCCTGCCTTACCGCTCAGCCACTTGACTCGCCACTCGACTAAAAAGTAATGAAAAGAGTACACACCAAGTACAGTCGGCCTAGGCTTACTTTCCAGACCTAGGCCATTAAAGGACCAATCTCTCTTAGCTTTGTAGAAGTTGCATTTTAATTATCGTTCGTGAGTATCATAAATTACACAGCAAGACAGTCTAGAGATTGCACATCGTACTATAGGGCAAAAACGTACTATCATTTGATGATAGTACTTTCTATTGCCTGCTTCTAGCCTAGAATCTATGTATGCAGTATGTAATAGTATAGTATATACATATATTTACATATATAAATTCAGAGTTATATAAAATATAATAATATTAATGTATAAAGTAAAAAACAGCAGCACTTTTGAGACTAACAATATATAATTTTTAGTCTCAAAAGTGCTGCTGTTTTTTACTTTATACTTTCTATACTGTACAGACTAATGCGGCTATACTTTTTATTCAATAATATTAATGACTTTAAAAAAAAAAAAACCAATATCAACAGGATCCGATACAGTAACTCTTTTATTATTATGCTTATGTTTTTAATATTTTTATAAATCATTTTTAATTGTAATTACTTTTAACAAAAAACAATTAAAAAAAAACACCTTTTTAACATGCTCTATTTTAATCAATCTTAAATATTTTAATGTGAAACAGGTGAGACAGTGGTACTGACTTTTTGTTACAGCAATTTGGTTCACTTTTGTGTTTTCTGCCAAATGCCAAATGGATGTCTTTTTTCTGTTTGTTAGTGATGGTTTGGCAATGAAGAGAAATAATAAGAATATTTGGTTCCTCAAAGAATTTTATCTGGTTTCAGTATATTACAAGTTTTTGACTTTTTTGTAAAAACCATTAGAATAAAAATGGAGTATTTTCTTGGACGTTTTGAATTGTATCACAATGTTTGGAGATGGTGCGGGGCCCAGTCAGGTGAAATCATTATGAGATCGTTGTAGATCTGGGAGATCATGGGCGCCTCGGTCTCTGTTCATGGTGTGTCTTTTTTCTTCTTATATGGATCGCTTCTCTAATAACCGGAATGGTTACTACATCTGTATTTAGGAAGCCCACTCACCCCAATCATTACCTACATTTTAATTCACATCATTCTCTCGAAAACTAGGGCTTATCAACACTCTTGTTGACAGGGCAGATAAGATCGTGTTAGAAGCTGATGAGAAGAGACTTGTCCATCCAAAAGACAAAATCGACAAGATGAAGAACTGCGGAGTCGTCTACCAAGTCAGCTGTCTTAATTGCCCATAAGTGTACATTGGGAAAACAGTAAGGGCACTTAGTACAAGCATTCACGACCACATAAAGATGTCAAGGAACACACGGGTAGGGTAATGACAAGGGCTTCCAGATCATCAATATCATCAATTCAACAAGTCACAGACCATGCCACACAACATAATCATGTACTAAATTGGGATGCCAGCATATTGGACAAAGAGCAACATCAGAAGAAATGGCGTATTAGAGAAGCGATCCATATAAGAAGAAAAAACAGAACACACCATGAACAGAGACGGAGGCACCCATGATCTCCCAGATATCTACAATGATCTCATAATGATTTCACCTCACCGGGCCCCGCACTATCTCCAAAAATTGAAGGACGTATGACGATGACGTCATCGACCAACTGATGATGTTATGATCTCTGACGTGTAACACCTATTCAAGTCAGTTGAAAAAGAACTGTCATACAATTTGAAACGTAAGTGTACTCCATTTTTATTCCAATGGTTTTTACAAAATAGAAATCAATAACTTGTAAGAATATTTGGAATAAAATATTGTAAAATATATTAATAGACAAAAAAAATAGATTCTTCTTCTTATTATATCCACACATTTGCTGGATACAGTAATTTGTTTCAGCCAGAGCTGGACACAGTTTCTAGCACAGGTCCATCATGGCATCATGAAAATGATGATATAAGTAAATGTTGACTTGATCTTGTAACAAAAAAATAGAAAGGCATAATACAAAATTTAAGGCAATCATTAAGATTATTGTGTTTCTTGTTCTATGGTGTAACTTAAAAAACTAATTTTTAGCAATACTTACAGCACCACGTGGACAACACTTCCATCTTCTGGCATTTACAAGACTGTAGACCAACAGAAGTAAAGAAAGATGCATGCCAGATTGAAGATAAACAATCAAACAATTAGGATTTATGTAGAAGAAATTCAGTTAGTAATCAAAATTATAAATTTTTAGCTCAACAAAATAAAGTAAAAGTATAGTAAAATTATATTTAATTATCGACTAGTTTGAGACTTATATTAAATAAAAAATGATTATAAAGGCATAAGTAAGTTTAAAGGTTAAGCTGGTTCATTAAATAGGTTGAATACATTTATTTAAAAATAATACAGTGCTTAACCTACTGATATTTAATATAATGACCAAAAATAGTATATACATTTTAAAATGTTAAGCTATTTTTAGATATTTAAGTCAAAAACATTCTGGGGACTTTACAGAGCTTACAGTACCAAAATACATACCTGAGATAATCATTATTACTATACCTCATAAATATTAATTAGGTAATAACATTTCATTGGTCAATTCTACTATTTCCCTGCACATGCAAAATAAAGTACTACCTAAATTATTGACTTCTGCCTACATGAACTATATGCTAACTGCGTAATTTTACCATCAGAGATCGAAAAGGCTAATGTAGACAGACAGTTTGCTGTATAATATTTATGAGGTATAGTAAAACAAATACAACAAGGTTTTATTTTGCTAAAGCAGTGAATTCTACTTCCCTCGTTAGATAATTGGAAGTGAATACCTCCCTCCACTTCGCAACGGGAGATAGTCTGAATTTACTACTTTACTTCAAACCATATTTGAATATTAACAACAGTTTATAATAAACTATGTAATTGAAACAAAACTGGACATGATTCATTATCTGTTCGCCAGGAGATATATTTTTTTCAGTCGTGTAAGTTTTTGCGTGTGTGTGTTCGTCACATTTTTTTGTGTATTGTGTGTTTTTTTTTCTGTTTGAATTATCTGAAAAATGGCTGCACAGACGTAACAATGAAAATTAACAGGGAGTGTTAGGAATGACCCAATGAAGAAATTATTAAATTTTGGTGACGATCCGGAGTAGGGTGTGAATGTGAGGACCAATTACAGGGATTTAAGAGCAAACACTCTACACCAGATATTTTAAAAACATGTCAATTTCTTCAAGTTTTAGTGATGAAGTGTGTCAACATATCTGAATAAAAGTTTCGTGAAAGTTTAACCAAGTTAAGGAAGAAATTATTAAGTGTTGGTGAAACTAAAATGCTAAGGACCCAGACCTAAATATCTCTAAAAGTAATAACTTGCTCAAAATGACACTAACCAGAATAATTTGTCATGTTTCGATGAAGAAAGGTTTAAATGTTGGTAGGGTGTGGATATCAGGACCGTTCAAATAAAAACATCTCAGAAAAGATAATTTAAAAATTAATCAACTGATATGAATGTAACTTACATGAAAGTTTAACCAAGTTACAAGAAAGAAATTATGAAGTGTTGGTGATGATCTAATTTCAGGTGTGCATTTGAGGGTCATTATGTCCCAGACCTAAATATCTCGAAAATGGATGAATGGATCAAAATGACGCTTTCCAGAATAGTTTGCCAAGTTTTAATGAAGAAGTTTTTAAATTTTGGTCACGATACAAAGTAGGGTGTGGAAATGAGGACCATCAAAAAAATAGGTTTACCGTATACCATAGGCAGATAACAATAGCTGTGTGATGAATATTCAAATTAGTGCAATTACAGTTATAATGTGTACAGCGTTTTACATGTCCTAATTTCAATATTTGGGAACTGATTGGGAATATTTTTAATGCATCTTTATATTTAAATATGTGACACTAAGATCCATTGACTATTTACATAATATTTCCATTTCAACACCAATACTTGGCATGTATTTTTTTTGTCAACTATAAAAATAAAAAAGCCTAGGCATTTAATTTCCGCTTAGAACACATTGCGGATTTTTTGGGCTCAGTACGAACTCCAAAAGTATGCATTTTCTTTTAGTTTTAAGGCATATGCGGATTTTATAAGTCCGCAATGACAATATAACATGTTTTAGCCAGTCAGTATATTTTTATTAAGTAAGTGATGGTTGGAAAGGAAGTGGCTTGTCACATTTTTTTTTTCAGTAGTTGAAAATACAATGAATGAAAACAATCCCCAAAAAAACCTATACTAAAAGTGGAAATAGTGCCCCTCTTTGAAATAAAAAGTGTCTGGGCGAGTTACTGTGTCTTTTTGAAGAGCAGTGGAGTGAAGTGAGGTGGGGTGGTATTGGTGGCAGTTGAAGTAAAATAGGAACACATTTTTGGAGATTTATTTATAGAAAGGGATTTGGGGTGGGCGGAGGTGCTCTCTACTGAGTGATCTTCTTATTATTATTTTCATTATTACAATATTATTATTACTACAGCTATTATTAGTTATTATATAAACAAATTACTATAAT